AAGTTTTTCGCCAGACACTATTCATAGCAGAACCATCTGGAAAATGAACTATAGGAAATAGTACAGCTTATAAAATGAGTTAGATCAACGTAGGCAGGTAAGGCAATCACTGATTGGCATGTCCTTAAGCGATGTTTCCGTTTATCAACGTTATATTTTAAGATCTGTGCAAGAATTCAGCTAACAGATGTTTCCACTTATAAAAGCTATCTTCAATTTTTTACACCAGAAAAGAAGAAATATTTAACAACTTTTACAAACAGCAAGACTGTCATTCTATTAATATTAGATAACCTATACAACAAGACACAAAGTAAACGTAATTTAATATGGTCGTAAGTACTAATATTTCACACAGCACAAATGGAAAAAGTTATTTAGAAAGTAAAAATACGTTAAATCTGTTTTTCTTTGTACTGGTTTACACAGTGTTTCGTGTTTTCCATGTAAGCCTACCTGTAGTAGTATTTTTTACTTATTTCCTTATGTTTCAGTTGATAGATAAGTAATCTTGGTACAACTGTTGGATCAGATTATAAGCTTAATGATATATAGGAGTATTTGTAAGGATACAAGTACTTCCTTACTATGCTATTGTTAATTACTAAAATAAATATATTATTATCATATTAAAGTAATATTAATAATATGCCATGTACAGTTTTATTAATGATATACAGTAATCACTGCTTATTGTTAAAGTGAAGTTAAAGTATCTATACTTATTATTATATTTATGATTTTGCTCTGGAAAAAGTGGACACTTGACCACCTTGTATGTTGTTTTACTAATACTACTAATACAAACTCTATATTTCAAACACACACTTTCTGGTATTTTCCGTTCCCCATATATTTAAAGTTTAATACCAAAAATATAAATTACGAAGCAGTTTTTATTCCTAATTCTCCTTCCATACAGCCTTTAATTTTTAACCAGCATCTTTTTAACTTCTTCATTTTTTAATTTTTTAGAAAGAAAATGGGGTTAATATTTCCATATTATAATATTATTTCATAATTTATTACTAGCTGCAAGGCTAGTAAGATCGTATGGTGATTAGAAAGTCCAGTCAAAAAAACCAACTTAGGAATAACAAATAACATAAAAGTTGACAAAATCATTCTTATTGTTCTGAAAAGTCGGTAATTACTATCAAATTATTGTTTCGTCAAATTCTCACGGTAGAACTGGACGTTGAAAGTAGAACAGTGTTATAACTAATATAACTTATAAGCATATAAGAAATTATAGCCCTGTTTTCTGCTTACAACTAATATAATGTATACGTTACACTCCAGCTAAGGCCCCTAGTAGTAGTAGTACTCGAGTGGAAGTGAATAGAAAACACAGTAACATTAACATACTATACTCTTTATTTCCAATTTTTAAAATCATACATAAATTAAATAACTTTAGATTATATAACTGGTAGTGGTACTTACACTTGTTACGTAACTTGCAATAAATAGTATCCAGCAGCAAAAGTAGTCAAATATTAACGACGTACAAGTTCGTTATATTTCAATAAACTTCAACGTACTTTGTACGAACAAGCCTAACAAACAAGAATCTTTCAAGATCTCTAATATCGGTCAAACTAAATACGTTTAATGCTCTATTTTACTTTACTTTCATGGTGAACTACGTGAGGTTTATATATAAAACTCGTTTTGTCTCCGGAGGGTGGTTAAATAAAATTCTGTACACGAATCGCAACGTGATTGGCTCAGCACTCAGCGATATCCTTAAGTTACTACCGTTGAACCTTGCTACACTATATGAGTATAGTACTGCCACCTCATTGCAAACAATATTGTGCTAATTATCAGAATATGTGCCTGTAAAGCGTACTTTCATGATCAACCTTCGACTCTAGTGTTTAAAAGCTATGCCTCTCTTTTGCAGTTATTAAACTATATTATATTTGACACACAAGAAATCAACTGAATATGAAAGAAATGAGAGAAATAGAAAATTTACGAGACATTGTGTATGGTATCTGAAGAAAGCCTGAGGCGGGTAAATTATACATAGACTAAAACTTTGAAATATTGTAATCAGCTTCTAACTAGGACTTTTATTTTTAATTCGACAAAAAAGTTTTAAATTCATAGGAGTGGGTCATTGTCATATTGTATTTGAATATGACGCTTGTTTTAGAACTTCAACTCAAAGATACATGAAGATTATCTGTGCATAGCTGTTGCACCCCAGTAGCACGGTGGTATGCCTGCGAACTTGCAACGCTAGAAACCGGGTTTCAATACCTGTGTTGGACAGAGTACAGATAGCCCAATGTATAGCTTTGTGCTTAACTTCAAACAAAGCATTGCTGTCTCTAATTTGGAACCGATAAAGGGGAGCCAGTTAGTCTACAACACCCTTCGCTAATTCTTGTTGGACCCAACAGTGGGATTTCATCATCAGTTTTATGGCGCATTCACGGCTCAAAAATGCGGAGCGCGTTCTTACGGAAACTGGATATGAATCATGAACTTTTAATATTATGTTTTAATTCGTAACCATGGTCAATGCGTAACTATAATCTGAAGATGGCCAACTCCTATGAGTTGAAATGTTGTTTGTCAAAAAAATAATAATCAAATAATAAGCTGTTTATCAAAGTTCGTTGCTTTTCCCAATGGATTCCTCACTTCAGAATTAAACTACAACTTTGTTATTATTATCAAAGTGTTCCATCTTTTATACGCACTTTTGGTGCTTTTATACTTAAGAATGTATATTACAGTATTTGCTACTCTAAATTCAACTTTATTCCGAAGAGAGTAACGGAAGTTACCCGAAACCTCGAAATGAAACAACTTTTGTTAGCCGCATAAGGAAATGTTGTCAGACATCGCACAGATACCTAAACTTTAGTGTTAAACTTACAATCCTTTTGGACTCGATGTTCGTTTCCACAACCAAACTGTTAAATAAAAATTACAAAGGACAGACTGTCCTTTGTCGTCTATAGATAAATTCTTCATTTTTACTCTTAAATTTCAAATGACGCCAATAGAGAAGGTAAATAGAAATTGTTCAACTCCTAAGACGATTGGAAAAAAAGAGAAAATAATAAAATGCTAGTTTTTGAGCTTTTACTAGTCTGCTGTAAGGCAACATTACAATCCAATGTTACGACACATATTTTGGTATTTTCGCTTTATAAAAACTCGAAAGCTTTCAGGAGCCGCTATGGGAAACGTATTCTATAACCTCAGTAATATATATATAT